CGTTTTGGGTAGTCAATGTCTAAGTTGCCCGTCCCTGTCTACCTTGTATACAGAGGGGAAAGGATTGATATTGATGTGAAGATTGCCTCCCTCTCAGTTGGTAGCTTGAGCTACTACTACTCCATCCATAAGTATAGGTGGAGTTCATCAAAGGTAGCAAATTACACTCGTTTCCTTTATCAAAAATTGTTTCTTTCTCTAGTTGAGTTCTGATCATCAAGCCACTGAGGCTAGGTCAGATGGGTACTATCTGCAAGTTTGGGCGCTCTTGTGTGTCTCAACTGTAGATCTCTGTGGCTTTGTCCTTATCGATGGACTCAGGAGTCCCCAGGTGTCACCACACTTCGGACCAACCAGCCCTTCCTCTTCTCTCATCTCCAGGTCAGTGGGAGTCTATGGAATGTGGTTGAACTCAGCCCATTTCTTCATCACTGCCTTTCCCCCTCTTCCACTCACCAGTAAACCATTGTGGTTGCCAGCAAGCTAACATGCTTGCTTGTGTGTTCCTTTGAGTTTCTGTCTTGGAGGGGGTTTTGTCCTGAAGGGACTTGATTGCTTACCTTGATGGCTCCCCGGTGAACAGCTTGCTTGTTCTGCCAATCAGACCACCATTTTTGTTTTGGATTTTTCCTGCTGATCCTTCTTTGAAGATGTATCATCTGTTGCCCTCGTTGTTCCAGGATGGTCTGCTTGTCCTTTCTAGTGTCCCAGAAGGTTCTGGATAGGGCTCAGGATTCCACTTAAGGTACTATATATTGCAAAGGCTCAAAGGCAAGAAGTCTGTTTCACTGGGCAAGTTCTAGAACCCCTTTTTAGTATTCCAATCAGCTATAGCTTGAAGATGGGCTTACAAGCTTTCTTCACTTTCAACATTACCTAGGAATAATGGAGACATAACTGACACTTGTATTGGGGTTTCTTGTCATGGTGGCCACAGATCCACAAATAACACAGGTTTTCAGTACTCTTTACGTGGCATTCAGCTCTTATTGGGGAGAGTTTGTCTCTCCTACAATCAGAAGTTGATCATTTCGTTTTTGTGTGTGTGTTTATGTATGCGCTCTTGAGTTTGAGAGCGAATGTATAGATCCTCTGGTAATACAAATACAGATAGTTAAAGCACTTGACTACTAGCTGAAAGAAGTTTGAGCCCACCTAGATAGAGGTGGTTCAAGGTCACCAGCTGCTCCTTGGAAACCCTCTACAGGGTCTCTATGGGTCAGAATCGACTCTATGGCACTTCACAACCACAACAGAGGTGGTTTGGAAGAGAGGACTGACAGTCTGCTCCAGAAAGGTCACAGTCTGAGAAACGCTGTGGAGCAGTTGGAGTCTGTTTACATGGGATCGCCATGGGTCGGAATGGATTCCCCAGTACTTCCCAACTTCCCAGCAACTCACAATTGTGCTTTAGTCTCTAGACCCCAGGCCAGGTGTGTCCTTTGTTCTACCTGATCTCTGGGGTGTCTGACAGTCACCACCACATCCCAGAGGTATTTGCTTTTACCCAAGGGAAGTATTGTAGCTCTGTAAGATAAACCATTGAATTGTGAACCATAAGGTTGGTGGTTCAAACCCATTACCCGCTTCAAGGGAAAAAGTTGAGGCTTTCTGCTCCCACAAAGATTTGTAGCCTCAGAAACCCTATACAGTGTTGCTGTGAGTCAGAACCTTCTGAACCTTAACACTTAGTGGCAACTCCAAAAACAGCCCTTATCCTGCATACCTGCTCTTCTTCCTCTTTGCCCCACCTTCCTCTGCTCTCAAAAACTCAGAATTGACCAAAGAAGTGGCTCATGTAATTTTGGAGACTGGCAAGTCCCAAGTCTTAGTTTGGTGGATTAGTCTGGAGGAATTTTCTCACCTACATAGTCTTAGGAGATGAGGAACCCAAATTGGCTATGGAGCTGGTGAACCAGGCCAAGTAATGGGCTGAAAGTTCCACAAACTGGAGGTCAGCCCTCATGCGCCAGATGCATGAGCCAGGGCAAGAGGACGTGCTTTTCCAAAGCAGTCATAAATTGAAGTCAGACCATGACCCCAAGAGAAACTAAGGGTGGTGACTTGAGTCGCACCCTCTACTAACATGGGGGCATTCTTAATACTTGTTGTTATTAAAGGCCATCAAGTCGGTTTGGACTCATAGTGACCGTGTATAGGGTTTCTGAGGAGCGACTGGTGAGCTTGAACCACCTATGTTATGGTTCAAACCGATCTTGCAGTCCAGCGCATTAACTCACAGCACCACACATTTACTCCTTGTTGTTGTTAAGTGCTGTGTAGTCAATTCTTAATCATAGCAACCCTATGTAGGGTTTCCAAGAACACCTCATGGGTTTGAACTGCCAACCTTCTGGTTTGCAGTTCAGTGCTTACTTTACAAGTGCTACATTAGTCCTGTGGTGAAAATGGACACACCAAAACATTTGCCCACACAGCCTCCACCCTGAAAATTCTGTGACGTTGATTCCATTTTCATACTGTGTCCTCATTCTCACTCTCCTTTTCAAATTATTCCACCACCATGAATAAAACTGCTCCCGCCCACTCCAGGTAACCGTGAATAATCTTTGGTTTCTGTTAGTTTAGTTCTTATACGTGAGATGATACAGTATTTGTCTTGTTGGCGACTGACTTCTGATCTCGCTCAGGATTGTCCGTGTGTCTGTGTTGTGGCATGCATCGCAACTTCATTTTCCTTCCTACTGAGTATATTCCATTGTGTCCGTTTGTCTATACGTTTTTTCTGTTGCTGGACATTTCCAGTGTATCTGTTTGGGGCTCTTATGAAACTGCTGCAGTGAATGAACACTGATGATCAGGTTTCTGTTTGCACCCTGCCTTTCTTTCCTTCTGAACAAATTCCTAGGATTGGGACTCATGGTTATGCATTCAGTTTTTGAGGAACGCCCAAACTCTTTTCCACAGCAGCTTCACTAGTTTACCTTCTCTCTCATCAGTGGATTGAGGGTTCCAGCAGCTCCCCAATTTCATTGACACCTGTTGGTTTTCTTTCTTTTCCATTCTAGTGGGGATGAGGTGATAATCACATGTGGTTTTGATTGTTACCTCCCTCATGACATCTTTTCCAGTGTGTGTCCACTGTTTGAATGTCCTTAGCGTGCCCAGTCGCTCATAGGCTGTCACTGGTAGGTAGAGTGCATGGGAAGGCGCCACAGCATTTGGGTGTTTATCATTACTTGAGAATCATTGATTTAGGGTTCATCTGTTTCTTGAGGTGAGAAGCTGATGGATTCCCTGTGCTGGGGTGAAGGGGTACGCAGCCCATGGGGTTGTCGATGGAGCCCGTGGGATAGTTTCTGGAAGAAAGCAATTAAACTGACTTGGAGAAAGAGGTGGAGTTAGCCAGGAAGTAGAATGTCATGTTGAGGAGAGGAATTGGATGGAGGCTCACAAGTAAGAGGACGGGGTCCTTGAGGAATTCAGTGGACCCCCAGAAAGCCCATGTAGGATGAGAAGGTATCTTGGACTCATGATGTGATGCTGTATAGAGTGAAGTGAGCCCTTACTCATCCACATCACCCCCCACCTTCTTGTGAAGCTTGTCTCTTGTCTTATAGGCCAGGTTGGTTCGTTGGTGTGACCGAAGATGTCTCTTTTCCCTGGTGGACCTCCAGGGGATGTTTGATCACCCACACAGTCCCCCTCTGGGCATGGAGCTTTGGCATCTGTGTTCTCTAACTACATCTGTTTTCGCTCTGGCACTTCAGTCTTCTGTCTACTCCATTCTTACTCTCCCTCAGGAGGCTCACTTCTGTGCACGTTGACTTCCTTTAACCGTCACCAGACCTTCGGGCACAGGCTTGGACTCCCTGTGCTTGAAACAGGCACATTGTTGAGGGTGTGCCTTTTCGATTTAAGAACCACAGTGTACTTACTGTTAGAGCCCTTCATGAGCAGTATGTGCAGGTTAGGGCAGCCTGTTTTCAGGTCTGGGCAATCCTGCACCTGACCCCATCCTCAAAAGAAACCTGACAGTAGTGTAGTCCCTTCAACCAGAACAAAAGCACAGTCATGGCCGACAGGGTGATTGATTTGAGATTTGTGACGTGCACCTACTACAGAGTTGGAGTTTTTTGGTTTTGCCTTTCCTCATTCCCAAAACTATTCTAAGGTTAGACGTCGGAATGTGTGCCCGCCAGTCTCAAAAGAAGTTCTCCACAAGGGGGTTGAGGGCAGACACTTAGACCCTGTTCACAGCCTATCTTTCCCACATTGTCTGCACACAGAACTCTGTCCACCAGGCTGTCATGTGACAATTGTCCTTACAGAGCCTCAGTTAGTTCCTCCCACATGCCACTTGAGACTTTCTCCCATTTGGCATCTCCTGGTTTAATATTGTCTTTTCTGTTTCCATTTTCTCTCCTTCTCTGGCCTGCAAACCCTGCCCACCTGACCCCATCCTCTCCTCATCCACTGTCATCTGCCCAGTGCAGCCTTCCCGTGCCCACCCCACCCCCTCTCTCCTCGTGTTCTACTAAGCCTCTGCTTCACTTCAGCCCCCCTTCCTCCACAGCCTTACTTGTTGCTCCACTGCTCTGTGGTCATCCCATTGGAATGTCAGCCTCTTGGTTCACACCTATGTTCGTAGTGCCTAGGATGTCCCCCACCCCCATACCCTTGCTGGGATAGTCAAAGGAATGGGAGGAAGAGGAGGAGGAGGGCAGTCCAATGCCTTGATTGTTGAGTAGAAAATGGACTTGTAGGTCTCGAGATCCACTATTGATTGTTCTGTGTCTGAGTCTTTGTGTGGGAAGTTCTGCAGGGCCTGCCTCCTCATCCCCTAGTGCTCCCCACTCCCCCGTGCATTCCCTGCTGAACACAAAAACAGGGCAGAGGGGGCAGACTAAGTACTGGGATTGGTCTTCACCTAGATTATGTCCCAGTATGTGCCTTTTGCCAACACGGTTTTTGTATTTACAAGAGTGTAGCACTAGGCCTACTGGACATGGTCCTCATTTGGCTCTCTTGTTTGCCAGGTTACCTGTCCTGCTGCCGCTTCCTGGATGACAATCAGATCGTCACCAGCTCTGGAGACACCACCTGGTAAGTAGCTGACCAGTGCAGGCAGCTCACGTTCCTCTGCCCAGCAGTCGGTGTGTGTGACCTCTGTTCACACTTACCTGCACACTTTTTTGAAGCTCAAAAGTTTAGCTCTGAACCACACAGATCTTTTAAACTGCAGCAGTGTGCAGTCTGTGCTAGTCTCTTTTCCCTGTGTGTTGGTTCTTTTTCGCGCTTTGCTTGTCACTCCTCTGGTCACACTATTTGTCAATACCAAGCATGGCTAAAAATATAATCACCAGTATCACAATTTCAGGTGAATTCTGTGAAGTTTCTCAGCGATGAGTGTTCTCACCTCTCTAATAGACGTGGAAGCCCACTGAAACAAGCTCTAGTGTTTTCATTTGGTGCACAGGACACATCATTGGGAGGAACAGAACCTCACTTTAGATCCCTGCTGTCCTGGTGGAGGTTTGGTCTTTTGATGGTGAGGAGTGGTAGGTGACTCGGCTCTGATTAGCACCAGGGTTCCTGATGGCTCAGCTTCTGTCCCTGCGCTCGCTTGTCAACAAGGGGGCTCATTGTGCTAGAGTACCCTGTGCGTATACATTTCATGGTTTCACAAAAGGTTGACAATAAGAAAAGATTTCCTTATTTGAAGATAGTTTTAAAGCTGTTTGTTTATGACTAACTTTTTCAGCCTTTGGGAATAACTTGCTTCCTTTCTGTGGTCCCCTCAGCCTTAGATGGGCCCTGGGCTCGGTAGCACTGGACTTGGGCAAGGGCAGGCCAAGTTGGATTCTAGAGTTGTGTTTGTCCCATGAGCAGTTGTTTTGCAGCTGAATCTGATGCCCTATTCTCTGTTCCTGCTCAGTGCACTATGGGACATAGAGACTGGCCAACAGACAACCACGTTCACAGGACACACTGGAGACGTCATGAGCCTGTCCCTTGCTCCAGACACCAGATTGTTTGTTTCTGGTGCTTGTGATGCTTCGGCCAAGCTCTGGGATGTGCGAGAAGGGATGTGTCGACAAACTTTCACTGGCCACGAGTCTGACATCAACGCTATCTGCGTAAGTGCTGGTGCTACGGGCTGGAGGTAGGGATGCCCCTTTTTCTGCCCCACTTCCTGGAACTGCACCGTCCATTTGTCCTTAAGTTTAAGAGACTGTGGTACAAGTGCTCCTCTTCTCTTCTCTGCAGACAGTGTGCAATCATCCGCTGTCCCTGCCACGGCACTCCTGTTGAGCAACACGCTGCCACTACTTCTTCCTGAGCCTTGATACAATGTCTCCATTTTCTTTCTTTTTCCAGTTCTTTCCAAATGGCAATGCATTTGCCACTGGCTCAGACGATGCTACCTGCAGGCTGTTTGACCTCCGTGCTGACCAGGAACTTATGACATACTCCCATGACAACATCATCTGTGGAATCACCTCTGTCTCTTTCTCCAAGAGCGGGCGCCTCCTTCTCGCTGGCTACGACGATTTCAACTGCAACGTCTGGGACGCGCTCAAGGCCGACAGGGCTGGTAGGTGACCCCTGGACTTGCCATGTCTGCCGGCACTTCTGGCAATATCTGTCAGTGTGGACACAACTCACATAACCGAGTGTTTGACTCAGTACGCCTGTAGGCCCATGGCCTGGTCTGGCAGTTAAGATGATCCCAGCCTCCCAACACGACACTCAAAAGTAAGGTACACGTGCCTGAGTCCCAGTGGCCCTCTGTTCCCATGCCCCCTTTGGAGCTGAACACCATCCGAAGAGGGAGTGAGGAATGGGGTAGTCTCTGTCCTGCGCATACTGTGAGTGTGATTGTTGGTTTTCACTTGTGTTATAACCTTATTGTCTCCTAGGATCTGTATTTTGGTCCATTTCTTGATAATAAATGGCAAATCCATAAGATGGTTAGGGAAGTATGCAAGCTGCCCCTTCACCTCACGACTAAGCCCACGGACTTGATGGTTTCTCAGTTCGACCTTGAGTTCTGGCTTTCGTCACAGCTCTCACCCTCACCCGAGTTTCTACAGTTACTGGTCCTAGCTCTGCGCTCCTCTACTTTAACATGCACCCCCCACCCCCAGAAACAAGCTGAGGTTTCAGGGTTGCAGGATTGGTAGTTAGGAGGTGGTTGGGACCAAGCTTAAATCTGACATCTGGCTGTGGCATGGATGTTGTTCTGGTCCACCATTTGGTCCATCAGTTCTCTGCTGTCAGCGTGACCCCAGGAAGGACTGCAGGTACAGGGAGCCCTTGGGTGACAGCTAAGGAGCAGGTTGGAATGCTGTTGTCACTGTGTTAGTGTATATTATAAAGCACAGGTAGCACACAACTTGAGACTACTCTATGTGTGAAAGATGGCATTTGGACACTTAAAGTGGAAACACAGGCCCCCATCAAGTCAGGCACATGGTTCTTGGGAGCAAAAGGGGAGAGCCGCTCCAGGCCTTGGGGTTGCCTCATGGGGGCGCCCAGCTTTCCAGCAGGAACTCCTTCCCTGCTTGATGAGCATCCTGCCTTTCCTCATCTTTTCTCAAAGTGTTGGTGCTGGGAGAGTACAAGTGCCCAGGCCTCCTCCAGACTATGAGCTCTGAGTCACCCCCGGCTCCAGTGACCCTAATGAGCATCGGGTAAAGGCAGACAGTGTCTGTGATATTAATCCTCAGGTTCCATAAAGCAGAGGTAGTGAAGGTTCTGACTGATGATGATCCAAGAGACTATTGGAAGTTTCAGTGGTGGGGCCCTTTCAGTTATCACCTGCTCCTCGATTCCAGCTCCAGGCCTCACTAGGAGGCACACCCGGCCCATACCATGTGCTGAATTATAAACAGCTATAAGATGATATGACTGATTTGTTTTTTTTATGGCTTTTGTTCTATTTTTAGTTAACACCTCTTATACCAACTTGAATGCTCAGAAGTCAGTATAAGAGACCCTAGGTTATTTACAGTTTGTGTGTGTGTGTGCACTTTAGAATTCTTGATCACCTACTGTCATAATAGCACATTTATTACTAGGATCCTCCTTTGTTATGTCCCTGTGGCTGTGGATACACCTGAGTTATTTTTACTAGAAAGAGCATATTAACCCTGCTCACCTCACCTGGGCAGTTGCAGTGTCCTGGTTTTATTGCTGCTTGGAAACCATCCCTTCCTGGACTCCTTTCATTGGTGATTTGAGGCATTGTGAGACTTTACCTCTGGGGACCTGGCTTGCCTTCCTCTAGGCATCCCTGCAGATTGAGACCTGTCTGGGCCCTTGGAGTGACTGCTGTGACTTGCTCCTCAGGTGTCCTGGCTGGGCATGACAACCGTGTCAGCTGCCTGGGGGTGACTGATGATGGCATGGCCGTGGCAACAGGTTCCTGGGACAGCTTCCTCAAGATTTGGAACTAACGCTGACAGGTAAGGAGTGACCCATGTGACTTCCCAAAAGTGATTGTATGTACTTGCTCACCCCTGAATAGTTATTCCCAACATATGATTGTGAGCTGTGCTTCTAAATTAGTTGATTGGTTTTGATAGTTGGTAGAAATTGAAGCAGGTGCCCTTGCCTGCAGACACAGAATGAACGGTGAAACAAGTTTGCGTGCTAGTCCCGCTGTCAGCAACGCTCGTTAACAGTTTGTTTCTTCTTAAACTTTATTGAGAACTCTGTTCACAATGGCAGGTGGACTCGTGGTGACTGGAAGACCATTCCAAACCCTGATGAGTTACAGTGATAGCATATCCGCCCAACCGTACTAACCTGGACCCCAACACCCCCTCAGAACTTCAAAAGGGCAAGATCTTCTTTTCCTTCACTTATTGCTGAAACAAAGAGCACAACTCCCATTAAGAGAAGACTCTGGCTGTAAACTAAAACAAATTGTGCATTCCTCTCGGGACCATTGTCTTTGTTTTCTTTTTTTGTCTTGAATGAATTTTAAAAGGAAATACTATAATAAAAATGTTAACCAGAAGGTAAGCTTGAGTGTAATTGTGAAACAGACAACAACTTTTCACTAGTTTATTTGAACTTTAGACCAGTGACCCTGTTTTGTGATGTTCATGCAAAACAAGTTGAGGACTTTGTTTTATCTTGTAATAGTTTCTAAATTTCAAGTCGTGTTTGTAGCAGGATTTTGAAAACATTCACATTTCCTTTTTTAATATATTCCTTTATGTTCAGTAGTCAACCAGACAAGGGAGTCTCCCTGAAATGGTCCATGATGTAAATTCAGTCCCTGGGTTTATTTTCTGTTTCGTGTCATGGTGCCTGTCGCACACAGACACAGCGTGGGGAGGTGGCATTCGGGTAAGGCCACGCTTCCGCTGTGGGGACGCTGTCAGTGTGCAGCTCAGACCAGGCACCCTCCCGCCTGTACTCTTCCCACCCCCTGCAGCCTTGTTTTGACTCCCTTTGGGTTTTTTGTGGTGTTGGAGGGATGTTTCTGTGACCTGACACTACTCCCCTCCCCCACCATCAGGAGAGGCCCACTCTGCACTTGGGTCATCAGTCGATTGTTTGTGTATGAAACAATGTACAAATCAATGTTTTGAAAATAATGATCTCAAACTTTCTAAGTTAAATTTTAAAAAATTTGGTCATTTGCCATATTGGGTGGGTTTACTCTTAGAATCGCATGCTGTAGAAATGCTCAAAGTGCATATAGGACTCCGTCCTTAGATGTTTTTTCTTTAAGAAGTAACCCTTCACCGTTGTCGCCACGGCGGCTTGTCCACCCTGTCACTGCTCTGTGCACATGTAGGCAGTACACCAAGCGGCTCTGCAGGCTCCAGCAGCAGGCACGTCACCTTTTCCGGTTTCTTTTAAGAGAAATGTCCTGTTTCAAACAGTTGCTGCTGGATTCTGAGGGTGTGGCAGGAATAGGGGGGAAACAGGGGATGAAGCTCTGTCTAGCTTTCCTCTTGAGGAGCCCCCACGCCTGCCTCTGTGGGAAGAGCCTTTTCATCGGAGGCAGGCCACTTTTATAACATGCCGATTTCCCAGGTTTTCCTGTCCCCTCAGGTATCCAGCAGCAGCGTTTAGGCCGCAGGGTGTTCTGTTGGCTCTCCTGACTCCCCTGTCCCCAGGAGTGCTCCTCCGTAGCAGCGATAGTGGCTTCTCCATTCTGTTCTCTGCAGCGCCCTGTCCCCCCACTGTGCTGTGACTGTGCGGTAGGCCTGGGTCGGCAAAAGAATAAAACGAAACCCTTCTTTCTCTTTCCATAAACCACTCTGTAGAGCTCTCTGCACCTGTAGCCCTTCTCACCTTTTGTATTTAATTTTAAAGTCAGTGTACTGCAAGGAAGCTGGATGCAAGATAGATACTCTATTAAACTGTACTGTTATTTAAGATGTAATAAAGCAGTTTGACATGAGGGACCTGGGTGTGGCTGCTTATTTGAGGATCCGTTCAGATCTGGAGGCAGTGGGTCTCTGGGTCACAGGTTCTAATATGGGGTCCAGCCCACTGCTACACCCTTCGGTCTGCATCACAAGGGCCTGGCAGCCCCTCCCCACCCCACACAGTTTATTGGGATGCCTTGGAAGTCTTCTGTTTTGCCCTTCTTGCCTCTTCCTGCTTTCCATCCCTAAAATATCCTGGGGCCTTTTACTTCAAAGATACACTTTGCACTTAACTCCAAATAGAAAGAGTTGTGTCGTATCAAGAAAATGGCCATCTGCTGGGAAAGAGGTGATAGCGGATTGGTTCCCACCCCATTCCCACCCATCCACTTCCCTTGCTTCCTGGCTGAAGGACACACATTTTTTAAAAAATTTTACTCTGTAGGGCTATATTCTGCAAGCGTTGTAACTGAAGATTCCAATGCTGGGCTTTTTTGTGAATAAGTGAAAACATCTCTTGGGAAGGATTCAGCTGAAATGAGTTGCTCCTTGGGGGTTCTCCGCCTTTCTGGTCATCCCCAGGGCCCCGTGAGGAATTACACACCTCTGTCCCCCACAGAGCCCCTAGCTACTAGCTTGACCAGCAGTGCCCATAAGCCCTTCTTCAGAAGCATTGTTTGGGGGTAGTCCTGCAGGTCCAGGCTGCTACGGTGGCAGCTGAGCGGCGGATCTGCCTTGCCTGGCTGCCTTCTCCCCCTCTTCTGCCTGAAATAACCCACACTCCATCGACACATGGGTTCTTTGCACATTTCAACACTGCCAGCTGCCTTACAAAAGCTTGCTTTTAAAATGCTGGCGAGTGTCCAAAAGTTTCTTCCTGGGCTGGCAGGCCTGAGGCCCTGGAGGGGGGGTGGGGTGGGGGGGTGGGGGTTTAACCTGCTCACAGTGTGAAAGCATGCCCTCAGCAAGGGTCCTCCCCATGGGAATGTCTGAGCTTGGCACCTGGCTCTTAACGCCTGTGTCCATGTCCTCCAGGGTCCATGTCCCCAGGCCTTGACTTACAGACTGGGAGGAGCCTTTGTGCCCCCATCAGGGCAGCTTGCTGGTGCCCATGTGTCTAAGGAGTAGCAATGGGTGGCCCACAGTGCCTGCTCAGCAGGCTTAGATGCTTCTTGTTAGGTGCCATCAAGTTGGTACCAATTCATAGTGACCCTGTGTACCACAGAACGAAACCACTGCCAAGTCCTGGGCCACCTCACACTTCAACCCACTGATGCTGCCACTTGGCCAATCCATCTCACTGGGTCTTCCTCTTTTTCTCTGACCCTTCACCTTCCCAAACATGGTATCTTTCTCCAGTGACTGGTCCCTGCTGACAATACATCTGAAGTATGAGAGACAAAGTTTGGCCATCTTGGCCTCCAAGGAGCATTCTGACTGCACTTTTCCAACACAGATCTGTTGGTTCTTTTGGCAGCCCATGGCTGCCTCATTTTCTCAGCCAATTTGATCTAGAAATGTACTACATGGGTTTGACCATGAACCGCAGTGGTTTTCAAACTTGTTAGGCACTCAGTTCTGAAGTTAACACAGACTGAATATTACCGTGAACGAGAAGGCAAGCTCCTTCAGCCACAGACCCAAAGTTGAGTGAGGAAATAGGTCTGCTCACTGCTTGTCCCTTCAGCCCTGTCCCCTCTGGGCATCTGGATTGATCCACATACCTTTTCCTTTGATCCCACCACTTGTCACAGATAGGAGAGGCATAAGCATCAGATGGCCCCAGGGTCCCTATGGTCAAACCCTAGTTCTGCAGAGAGCCTTCCTGTGACTCCCCAGGAAAGAAGCCAAGGCCCCGTGGCCTGTCTGTACCTGCTTGCTATCCCCCTGAAAGTAGCCCATCACCTACCCTGACAACAGTTTCTGAGCTGTCCACTACCTCCCTTGCTGCTCTTTATCAGCTAAGCTGATTCTGGTCCATGTTTTGGGACTCCTGGTTAGGCACTATAGGATCAGCACTGGACACGGTTGACAGTTCAAACTGTAAACCTTATATAGAGTCACTATAAGTCAGAACCGACTCGACAGCAATAATTTGTTCCCTAGAAATGATGATTCCATAGGATAAGCACTAGACTGCAAACCATAAGGTCCATGATTCTAGCCCATGGGATAAAGATGAGGCTTTCTGCTCCTTCAAAGATTTAATGCCTCAGAATCCCTATCCTGGTTTGCTATGAGTCCAAACCGACTCAGTGATACTGAACAACTAATTCCATGGGAAACAGTGGTTCTATAGGATAAGCACTGGACTGCTAACCACCAAGTTCAAACCCACCAGCTTCTCTGGGAGAACTAGAAGGCTGTGTACTCAGAAGGATGTATTCTCATCTCGGAAACCCTATACAGAGTCACTGTGACTTGGAGCCGACTCAGTGGCAATGGGTTTGGGTCTGGAACACTCTTAAAGTGGGGTGTCCTTTAGTGCCTCAGCATAGCAAACCTTTACCCTCCACCTGTCACTATCACTTTTCCCAAGACTTCACCCTCCCCAGCAGCGGCCCTCTATGCTGAGGTGCACCCGCTAAGGTGATAAGGTAGCACCTATGATATTCTGCCTGAGTGCTGATTTGAGCACCCCATGATGCCTGGAGGAAACAACATTGCTCGATTGAAGAGCCTGGTGACTCCTGGCCACTTGACCTCCAGGCCAGCTTTTCCAGGGAAGGGCCTTTTGGAACAGGCTGCCCCTGCCCAGTGCCCTGAGTACACACACATAACCTAAGCGGCTACTGAACACAACCTGAGCTGGGAGGTGGGTGGCCGGAATGGTCTGCACCAGGAGAGCAGGGCCAGCAGACACTCAGAGCTCACCCTCTGCCCCAGCACGGATGTTGACTTTGGGACACAGATACACAACCAACTGCTCAGGGGCATAGTCCAAAGATTCATTTCAGCCTCCCTGGGTTAGGAGCCTTGAGGGTCGGTGGGGTGGAGAGCAGAGAGGAGACCCTCAGAAACAGTTCTGCACCTCAAAGTAACATTGGGCCTATCCTCTGGGAAAC